GCAGTGAGGCTCGACCCAAAGCCGACCGTGACCACGCGCAGCCAGTCCTGGAAGTCCGAAGTGGTGAGCGGGTCCTGGCCTGGGAGGGGGCCTGGAGGGGCCTCGGCGGCGCTGAGTAGGCCATCGGCCGCAGCGCTGCCCTCAGAGGCGCCCGCGCAGGCCAGGCCCCCCCCAAGAGCGCTCGCTGCGGGCGGCGGGGCGACCTCTACCGCAGCGTCGGCACGAGGCTCCGCAGACGGGCATCGTACGCCTTGACCGTCTCGCCAGGCTTCTTCGGGTACTTCGCCTTGGCATCCTTCCAGGGCCGCGTCAGCACGACCGAACGGGCTGGGGCTGCCGACCTGTCGGCCAGCATGCGGTCGGCCTCCGCGGAGCCTGCGGCTGCTGGCTGCCTCTGCGCCTGGGCCTGCGCTGCAGCAGGGGGCATCCCCCCTGCGTGGCCAGCAGGGCGAGGGGGCAACGCCGAACCCACCTCGCCCCGGCCGACCTGCTAGCCCTGAGGCTTCTGCCGCAGCCGTGAGGCAAGCTCCTCCAGCTTGAGCTCGCCGTGCTGGATGCTCCTGATCATCTCCTCCTCCTCGTTGCGCAGCGCGAGAGGCTGGTCCCGCGGCGGTATCAGCTCGAGCCACTTCGCCGCCGACCAGCTCCCGTCCCCGACAGCCACCTGGATGGCCTTGAAGCGCTGGGCCAGGATGTCGGCCACCGCGGCCGTGCGCCCCTGCAGCAACAGGTCCAGCGCCTCCGCGATCGTCCGCAGCTCGCGGTAGATCTCGCCCCCTATCTCCTTCACAGGGTGCTGCGGCAAGTAGACCGACAAGAGGAACCGAAGGACGATTGGGCCGTGCGGATCGACCGACCCGCCGCCGTCCTGCGACCCCAGAAACTCTGCCATCTGCGCCAGGCTCAGCTCCGCGAGTCTGCCTGGGTGCTCGAGGGCCAATCTCCTGCAGTGGGCCCGTCGAGACGCGAGGCCCTTCGGCAGCAAGTCGCCCTCGGCGGTGGCGACACCACCGTCGCCGCCGAAGGACGGGTCGTCGGACGACCTGGACGCGCTCTGCAGCGCCTTGAGGAGGGCCGTCAGCAGCTCCTGCACACCAGCTCCGCCCTGCCCAGCCGCGGCGGCGGCCGCCTCTGCGCCCTTGGCGTCCTCGGCCGAGGCAACTGCCCCGACCTTCGCCGCCTTCCGCACGCGGTCCTCGAGGACCTCGGCGAGCGACCGCTGCGGTGGCGGCCCGCCCTGCCGCGGGACCTTCGCGGGCGGCTCGTCGTCCAGGGCAGCGACCGCCTCCGCAGCTCCCGCGGCGGCCCGCCGCTGCTGCTGAAGCCGCGCGAAGCGATCCTGCGCTGCCTCCAGCTTCCCGCGGAGGCTGGCGCGGCGGCTGCTCCCCTCCGCCTCGACAACGTCGCCGCTCCAAAGCTCGTCCAGCCCTGGCTGCTCCGACGCGGCCGGCCTCCTGGCTGGCGCCTCCGCCGGCACCCCGCCAGCGAGCCGCGGTCCGAAGAGGTCGGCGGGCCAGACCGCGTCTGGGTTGTCCGAGAGGAACGACGCAAAGACCTGCCGCAGCTCGTCGGCCGAGACGGGGGTCGCATCCGTGATGTGCACCAGCTCTGAGCAGCCCCGCGGGGGCTGGACCTGGCACGGCTGCGTCCGACACACATGGACGAGGGGCCGCGCAGTCACAGCACCCCGCTCGCCTGGGTTCAACGCCCACCAGTCCCAGTACGGGTCGCTTGAGAAAAGGAACCTCGGCCTGGCGTACGTCTCGACTCCGATGGAGAGGCGAAGGGCGACCCACGTGAAGCGGCACTGGACGTCCCCCTGGGCATCGTAGCCAGTCGACGAGTACACCTCGCCTTCGACGAGCCGCAGATCCTCGGCGGGGACAGGAGGCAGTCCTCCGCCCTCCTCGTCCAGCTCGTCGCCCGACGGGGTGTACAGCTGCGCGCTCCCGTCCAGCTCCTCGTCCTGATCTCCGGCCATGAGAGGGCGCCTGCGCTCGCAGCGCCGTCTCTCTCTCTCGGGAGTCCCCACCCCGACCTGGGGCGGACCAGGTCGGAGCCGGAGGAAGAAGACGAGGACCTCGGGCGAGCACCAAAGCAGTGAGGTGTCGGCTCGCCCGAGGCCCCTCAAACCCTGCAAGCCTTGGAAAGAGGCTACGGAAGGAGACGGCGTTCAACGATGCCCCCAAACAGTATTGCCTTACACAAGCGTAAACGGTCATATATATATATATATACATATATTGCACCACGAACATTGGACCACATCGGTTGCACCACGTATGTTGCACAACGTAGGTCGCAAAACATAGATCCTCCTCCTCCTCCTCATCATCATCATCGTATCCTCCTCCTCATCCTCCTCCTCCTGCTCCTCTTCCTTCGATCCTTGTTCTGCCCGTTCCTCCGCTAGAGCTGCCAGCACGGCCAGCGAGCCCTGCGTCGAAACGTGCTCGGGGCCGACGGGCCGTTGAGCAGGTGGCTTGCTTCGCTCGCCTTGCCGCATGAACGCGGCAGCGGCGGCGAGGCCTCTTGGCCGTCTCGGAAACGACTTGACCAACGAGAGGTAGATTTTGTGAACTCTTCGGGCGGCAAGCGGGATCGGCCGCAGCCCCTGGAGGCTGTCTTCCAGCCTCCGGGCCTGACACGCGTCCACCGCCCTGGCAACGGGAAGGCGGCCGGGAGCGACGATCGCAGGTTCGTTTTTGCTTCGGTCTGAGTCAGGGGCTGCGGCTCGCAGGCCAGAGGAATTTACCTTGCACCTGCTGAATGATCCCCGAGGAAGTGGGTGACCCCGGCCAACATCAATGCGAGAATGACATGCTCAATGAAGGATGTCGACAGTGCCTCGGCGACAGCAGCATTTTCAATCAGACATTTGGCTGGCGCCAAGGCGAGAACGACATTCTCAATGAGGACGTCGCTAGTCCCTAAGCGGTAGCCACATGTTCAATCAGAGATGTGGCCTACGCACAGGTGGTAACAACGCGCTCAATGAAGGATGTCGCAGGCGCCTAGGCGTCAACAGCATTTTTAATCAGAGATGTGGCCAACGTGCAAGCATGAACATCATTCCGAGACAATCGCGTCGCCAGAACGCAGATGTCACGCCCATTCCGCGCGGGCCGGGCTCGGTGTCACCGAAGTCCGGGCTACGTTAGGTGGGTATCTACGTGAGGGAGGGTTGTACCAAGTAAAAATAAGGGATAGGACCATGGGATGGTAGGTTGGATGTCCGAGGTAGGATGGTGCATCTTTCAGAGGATTGATCGGTTCCAGCTTCCGATGCGATGGTTGGCCGCTGGTAAGCCAAGCGGTCCAAGCATGTAGGACGCCAGCGCCTTGAGCCAGACGCCAGCGGGATGCTCGCTACGGTCGCTATTTGTATATCCCAGCCCTCTGATATGTTTCAGAATGGGCTGCCGCCGTTGCCGCCCTCGCACGGCAACCCGTCGGACTCGCAACCTGCTCTGGGATGGGGGGGTTAGCGGGGAGCGTGGGGGCGGAAGGTTTACACTGACGGCTCTGGACTGGCCTCGTCGTACCCATGGCTAGCCAGATGCGGTTGGGCTGTAGTTGAGCTCGACGCGTCGGGAGTCATCCTTTGGGCTGTTTATGGTGCGTTGCCAGGTCTACTCCACACTGTTCCCGGATCAGACTATTATGCCACGAGTATGGCAGTTAAAGTTCGCAGGCCCAGGATTCGAGATTTTGTAGAATAATTCGTGTCTTGTCCAGGCTGGCTCCAGTTGGTGGCCTTTCAACGAGGGTGCTCGACCTCGACACGCGTCGGCCTGGAGATCTCTACACCATAATTGTGACAGTGTGCAGTGCAGACTCTCTTGGGCCCCTGCGCACCGCTCTCTTGAGACGATTCTAGAGGACTCATCGGCTGATTGTTAGAAGGCCTGGGTAATGAGTGGGCCGACTGCTTCGCTCAGAAGGGAACACGGTCCCAGTGTGTGGCTCAGGTGGCCCATCCGCAAGCGTCAGCGCTGTGGTGTCCATGGTCGCCATCGAGTTTCATCAGTTCAGTCTTTGTGAGAAACCGTTGGAACACGTGTGCTTTCTGCAATCAATGGGCCCGCACGGCAGCCTGCCTCGAGGCTCCGCGGGCACGCGCGTGTGATCCCACCCCCCTCCAGAGAGCGGCCGCCGCCAACTTCTTCTCTCTCACTCCCGAGGTGTATCGGCATCCCTTTTTTCCATGCGTCACGACCCCAATGCCGCAATGCCAACGCTAGATCTGCGACTATTGAGACGGCAGGCTGTCCTGCCGTGGGACCGCTGTCGCCCCTGCCTCCTTGGTGCAACGAAGACGTTGGCGCGGACGAGGGGGGGGCGGAGAATGGAGGAAGAACTTACACTGTACCCTGAAAAAGCGCGCCGACCAACATGAGCTGTATCGGCGTCCGCTGTTTTCCTTCGGGGAGGTGTAGCGGGCCGCCGACTGCCAAAGCGGGCCCACAGGCCGTGGAGGACAGGGGGGGTCGCCGCCGTGGATGTCGCGGAGGGGGGGGGGGGGGCGGGTGATCACGAGGTCGAAGTTTTGCAAACCCTCGCACGAGGCTGAGCGCTTTGGCTCCACGATTGTGCCCCTCTCGTGCGGGGCGCATTCCGCACGCCAAGGTCGCAACACGAAGCTCGAGAAGGAATGCGTGGGCCCTGGCTGGGTCCCCAGGACTCGTTCTAGTCAAGAGCTAGTCGTCTCACGGATCATGAGAGGCCTGCACCCACGCTCGGGCCGCGCCTTTTGCCCGAGTAATTCTCAGGCCGTATGGTCTCCGCAACATGTCCTTCGTTCCTTTGTTTAGGATCTCACGGCTTGAATGCGCTGAATTTTGCTCAGGCTTCTGAGTTGCTCAGTCCTGTCTCCATTGCGGGGGGGCGCCCGTCTTTCGGACACCTCTTTCATCGCTCGGGCCCTCCCTCCCTCCCTCCCTCCCTCCCTCCCTCCCCCCCTCCCTCCCTTCCTCCCGCCAACAGCAGTTCCTGCGCGCCTGGACCGCCCTCGACCATAACCAAAACGCTGTTGACGGCCATGATCGCCATCTTCTCGGCGTTGCTGCGACCGTAGAACACCGTCATCCCGTAGTCCCACGGCGCAAACACCGTGGTGCCGTCCCCCAGAACCTGCCAGGTGCTGACAGACGTGCCACAGGCCCAAGATGTCCCGGGCTCCTGGGCCGACTTGGAGCTGCGGGCCCCCCCCCCGTTCTGGGCCCCGTCGGGAACCGCTTGGGGGCCCTCTCCTCGCCATCGCTCGGACGTCCATTCCCCGTGCATTGTTCGATCTCGTGCGTCTATTTTTCGCAAGATGCTCCAATAACTCCTCTGTGGTTCTGACCGAGAACACAGCCCTGGGCACGCTTTCGGGCCTGGAACGCGGGAGCATCCACACCCGGAAGTCCGCGGGCGGTGCCTCCGCCGGCGCACGGCCCCCTCCCCACACCCGGGCCATAATGATGTCATGACAGCACCCGCTCAGGATGCGCTCCAGGATTTCCGATCGTATCTGGCGGCCCTCGCGTTTACAGCCCGCGTGGAACATTAGTAAGTGTTGGAATTACTGGAAACCTGGGAAATCTGGGAACATGTCATTGCCATGGCATCTTGATCCTATGACGCGTGCACCCTCGGCGCGCACGAAAGCGCGCTGAGGGCGGGGCCAAGGCGCCGCCAACGGGTTGCGGGGGAGAAAACCTGGCGCTGGCGGGGACGGACGTCCAAAGGTCCTGATGCGCCGCTTCTGGCCTCCGAGCCATCCCTCATTGAGTGGGGGCATGGGGTCCCCGGAGGAAACCCTTCTCTGGCCTGCTCCATTTCAGGACGGCCCCGGGGCCCAGGCAGGGCCCCGGGGGGCCCGGGAGCGTTGAAAAGACTCCAGGACCCCTGGCCTTACTGCTACCACCGGAACCTGGGTGTTGGCCTTGTCTTTGAACACGGTCTCGATGTCTGGGTCCGTGGTGGGGAGGACCATATAGGTCCTGTGCGGCTTGCCGTCGCGGACCCTGGCGTCGTGGAAGGCACGCGAGATGCACTCGCCTGTCCCAGTGAAGCCGCCAGAGCAGACCGCCACCTGCGGAAGGATGACGGCGAGAAGGGCTGGAAGGAGGAGGACGAGCAGTAGTAGTAGTAGTAGTAGTAGTAGTAGTAGTAGTAGTAGTAGTAGTAGTAGTAGTAGTAGTAGCAGTAGTAGTAGTAGTGGTCGTGTAAGTTAGTAGTAGTAGTAGTAGTAGTAGTAGTAGTAGTAGTAGTAGTAGTAGTAGTAGTAGTTTAGTCGTAGTAGTAGTAGTAGTAGTAGGTTAGTAGTAGTAGTTAGTAGTAGTAGTAGTTAGTAGTAGGTAGTAGTAGTCGTAGGTAGTAGTAGTAGTAGTAGTAGTAGTAGTAGTAGTAGTAGTAGTAGTAGTTAGTAGTAGTAGTACTAGTAGTACTAGTAGTAGTAATAGTAGTAGGTAGTAGTAGCAGTAGTAGTAGTAGTATAGTAGTAGTAGTAGTAGTAGTAGTAGTAGTAGTAGTAGTAGAAGTAAGAGTCGCAGTAGTAGTAGTTAGTAGTAGTAGTAGTAGTAGTAGTAGTAGTAGTAGTAGTAGTAGTAGTAGTAGTAGTAGTAGTAGTAGTAGTAGTAGTAGTAGTAGTAGTAGTAGTAGTAGTAGTAGTAGTAGTAGTAGTAGTAGTAGTAGTAGTAGTAGTAGTAGTAGTAGTAGTAGTAGTAGTAGTAGTAGTAGTAGTAGTAGTAGTAGTAGTAGTAGTAGTAGTAGTAGTAGTAGTAGTAGTAGTAGTAGTAGTAGTAGTAGTCGTAGTAGTAGTAATAGTCGTAGTAGTAGTAGTAGTAGTAGTAGTAGTAGTAGTAGTAGTAGTCGTAGTAGTAGTAGTAGTAGTAGTAGTAGTAGTAGTAGTAGTAGTAGTAGTAGTAGTAGTAGTCGTCGTCGTCGTCGTCGTCGTCGTCGTCGTCGTCGTCGTCGTCGTGTCGTAGTAGTAGTAGTAGTAGTAGTAGTAGTAGTAGTAGTAGTAGTAGTAGTAGTAGGCAGTAGTAGTAGTAGTAGTAGTAGTAGTAGTAGTAGTAGTAGTAGTAGTAGTAGTAGTAGTAGTAGTAGTAGTAGTAGTAGTAGTAGTAGTAGTAGTAGTAGTAGTAGTAGTAGTAGTAGTAGTAGTAGTAGTAGTAGTAGTAGTAGTAGTAGTAGTAGTAGTAGTAGTAGTAGTAGTAGTAGTAGTAGTAGTAGTAGTAGTAGTAGTAGTAGTAGTAGTAGTAGTAGTAGTAGTAGTAGTAGTAGTAGTAGTAGTCGTAGTAGTAGTAGTAGTAGTAGTAGTAGTAGGCAGTAGCAGTAATAGTATTAGGATATAGGTTAGTTTGCAAGGTGGCCCCCCTGCCCCCCCCTCTTCGGAACCTAACGTCGCTAGCGCGCGGCGGTACCGACGCGGTATGCGCCGCGCGCCCGCGCGTGGGGCGGCGCCGCGGTGGAGCGTGGACGGCAAATGCCGCTGCGTAAGCAACTAAGGGGAGGAGGAAGAAGGCGGAGGAGGAGGAAGAGGAGGAGGAGGACGAGGAGGACGAGATGGACGAGGTGGACGAAGAGTAGGAGGTGGACGGGGAGGCGGAGGCAGAGTATGATGAGAAGGCTTGAGGAGTGGGAGAAGGAGAATCGACAAGTGGGAGGATGATGAGAAACAATGAGTAGGAAGAAGACAAAGAGGAGGAACTTGCACATGAGGATGGACGCCACCGTGTCGGGCAGTGCGGAAGCGAGCCGGACTCCGATCTCGCAGCAGATGCGCTCGGATGTAGGGTTGAAGAAGGCCGTGCTTCCGATGATCCCCACGAAGCCCTCCAGGAGGAGCAGGGAGGGAATATCCTCCTCCTCGTCCTCCTCTTCCTCCTCCTCCTCCCCTTCCTTCCCCTCTTCCTCCTCCTCCTCCTCCTCCTCCTCCTCCTCCTCCTCCTCCTCCTCCTCCATTCCTTCTCCTTATAGATAGCTTCTCCCTGTCGAACCCCGAAGCCAGTTTTTAGGGTGGGCCGGGCGTTTCACCTGAGACGTCCTCACCATTTGTGGCCCTGAAGCTTAAACATCGGCAACAGTTTCACACATGGAGGGCGGGTCGTTTTCAAAATGTGGCTCTCGCCTTAGCGCCGCGCACATTCGTTTCAAACATTTGCAAGAGTTTCACGGATTGAGGGCGGGTCGTTTTCAAAATGTGGCTCTCGCCATAGCGCCGCGCACATTCGTTCCAAAAAGTTGCAAAAGTTTCAAGGATTGAGGGCGGGTCGTTTTCAAAATTTGGCTCTCGCCTTAGCGCCGCGCGCATTCTTGTAAGGAAATTGCAAGAGTTTCACGGATTCACATGATCGTCGTACCAGATAAGGTGTTTTGGAAGGATTCACGATTTTGAGGGCGCAGCAGTTACGATAATTCGCGGAGTTGAGGTCCCAGGAATGGCGTTCTGGCACGATTCAGGATCGTCAAGACGCAACAATCAGGTTTATCCGTGGCGTTGGAATACTGAGAATAATGTTTTGGCCTGCTTCAGGGTCTTCAAACGGTTGCCCTCTAACGAGGCAGGCTCCTTTGTGGAAACGAACCTTTGTATGGGGCCTATGAAGAGGGAGCTTGGGGGAGGGTTTATTCCAACATCGTTGGTGCTTCTTGGGTTTACTCTCGTCCTCGTCCTCCTCCTCCTCCTCCTCCTCCTTCCTCCGCTCCCCTTTCTCCTACCTTCCTCCCTCCCCCTCCTCCTCCCTTCCTCCTGGTTCCCCATCCTCCCCCTCTTCGCTCTCCTCGCCCTCCCCCTCCTCTTGAAATCCAGGAGTAGTGGGAGGTGTGGGAGGAGGGGCAATAATGGGAGGCTCAGAGCGGGATTTAGGATTAGAGGCCTCTCAGATGGGGTCGGAGTAGATGGGGTCGGAGGATCGGCGACGCATCGCCGATATATCGGCGATGCATCGGCGATGCACCAGCGATGCGTCGTCGACGTCGGCGATGCATCGGCGACGTCGACGTGAAGCACATCGGGCTGCACAGCGAGCCGCATCGGCGATGCGGCGCGATCCTCCGGCCCTATTTACTCTGACCCCATCTAGGAGGTCTAGAAGGATGGGGGTGGCGATAAAGAGAAGGAGATAGGGGGCACCACTCATGAATGGACCCGACGGTAACTCCACGCGCTCCCATGCCGACAGGGCCTTGGAAAGGGTCAGCCTGCGGCGGCCGAGGGGTGCGAAACTACGGGCACATCAGACAGTCTGAAGCCCATCCTCGGTGGCAGCTGCACTGAATAGGACGAGCGCTAGACACGATGCCGCAGCCGCAGCTGGGGCGAACGTGACCTTATGAAAAAAATGCTGGGACCAAACACCAAGTAGTGCTCGCTGGCCAAAGCCTGTCCCGGCCAATGAATCCTCGATCCCCGAAGTCTCTGAATCCGGTCGTCCAAGCGTGGCCGACACCCGTTCCAAGATCTCCGTCCTCGACGCCTCCCTCCGCCGTGAACCACCCCACCCTCCTCCCGTTGCCGCGCGGGCGCGCAAGTCTCGCGCTCGGGTCAGGCCTGCCCCCTCTGCCCCCGTCCGGCCGCCCAGAGCCCGCGCCCTCCCAGTTGGCCCCTGGATCGGGCTCGAGGAGCGTGACGGCGTCAGCGGGCATCACCTCCTGGGATGACTCGGAGGCTCGAGCTCCCGCGGACGGCGGCGATAGCCTGACCCATCGAACTCGACAGCGCCGTCCGGCCAACAGTGGCCCCATGCCTGAAAGGCCAGGGGGCGCTGGCACCGCCTCCCCTCAGGCCCATCAGGCCTCTGCTGCCCTGAGCGCCACGTCATGCAAAGGGTGCGATCTTCCTCGAGGATGCCCTGAATTCCGGCTTGCAGCTCGCATCATGCCTCCTCGCGCTCAAATGCGTCACCTGCAGAACGTTGGACTTGGCACTGTCGGTGACGGCGCCGGAATCGCTATCGTGGTCAAAGCTGCTCCGGGTCAGCGCACGCGTCCAAATCGGAGCAGAACTGGCGCTTATACAGACGGAGAAAAAGCTGGAAACGAAATTCTGCACTTTACACATGGAAGATTTTGAGCACGCAGCATATCAACGGCAACTTCCATCAATCGCATGCAGCACTGCGCGCACGCCGAGTCGACGTGGGCCTGCCAGAAGGTTGAGTAAAATTCTGCACCGCATGGATCGCGCCTGGGCGGCGGCCCCAGCCGCTGGCGGCGGCCCCGTCCGCGCTCGAACCGCCTTGAGATTGTCCGACTCCTAATTTAGTATTATAAAGAACGAGTGTCGGATGAGTCTCGAAATCTGCACGACATTGTATAAACTCACACACCAGACGCGTCCGATGGCGGTCTCAAAGCGGTCTCAAACAGTCTCAAAGGGTCTCAAAGTGCCCGAAACCCTCGGCGCCGAGCACATCCGCGAGTCTCACATTGTCTCAAAGTGCTATGAGACCCTCGGCGCCGAACGCACTGGCGCGTCTCGAAGGGTTCCAAATCGCCCCGAACCCCCCGGCGCCGAGTACATCCGCAAGCCTCACATGGTCTCACAGTGCCACAAAACCCTCAGCGCCGAACGCAAACGCTCGTGCCAAGGGAACCAGCATCCCCTCGCGAGCTTTTGCGGACGCCCGTGCCGTGCGGGAGTTGGAGCGCAGAGTGCATACTCCACCGCGTGTGCATGTGTGACTGCGTGCGTGCGTAATGGTTTGTGATGCGCGTGCGTGCGTGGTTGGTGGCATGTGCGTGCGCATACATAAGGCGACGCGCTGCAATGCGACCACGTTCGGTGCAACGCAAGGCCATGCGAAGCAATGGGACCGAAACGTCCGCACGCATTGGACTAAATGTGGACATCGCGCGTTCGCGCAAGGCATTCAGTACCACTGCAACCTCAATGGCGACGCCCCGAAGAAGGCGGCCCCCAGGCGAGCGCAAAATCAATTTCCAAGCATTTCTTCTCAGACTGTAGTCCTAGAAGTACTCTTGGGCCAAGTGGCCAGGGTCAACGTTAGCCTCTCGAAAATTGAGCAGCAGCGGGGTCTGAGTCTGCTGCTCAGAACACTTGGTGGATGTGCTTGTGAGCTTCTTGTCCCTACCCAGGCAGGATGAACCCAAGTGGCCACGAAGGAGGAGGAGGAACAGGAGGAGGGGGAGGAGGAAGAGAAGGAACAGGACGTCAATGATGTGATTTATTCGGTTGGGGATTAGGGTGGAAACGACGAAGATGGGGCGGAGCAAAAAGAGAAGGAGGTTTAGGATGGGGGCGATGTGGGGAGGGCGATATTGAGGAGACGGATGCGTCCGAGCAAGGGGGCGGGCGACCAGGAGCCGGAGGACAAATCACAGGAGGATGAGAAGAGGGAGTCCAGGAAATCGTCGATGCTGGCGAGGTTCATGTCGGCAATCAACTCTTCCAACAACTGCTGGTGAACTATCTTGGCGTCCCACTCGCCGCCGGATGTGTCGCTAATATTAGAGTTTTGCCTGCCGATGCCATGGGTCCTTCTCCCTGCGACATTGACTCTGCTGAAGCTGCTTTGTCTGATGTGCCGATTCTTCATCATGACGTTACTGACGTGAACGGTGAAGCAGCCTGGGCGAAGGTCTGTGAGCCATTCTTCGGAAACTGGAGCTGCTCGACTCAGCTTGTCGCCTGCGCATTCGCACCTGGACAAACACTGGCACTGAGTTCGCACCCGCGGAAAGACCACTGCTTGGTGGTGACTGCCTGTCATGAACATCATCTCTGGTGTCATTGCGAATTCCTCGTACATGAGCAGCAAGATCCCTTTCGAGCGGCTGCACTGTTGGATGGCGTATTGCATTTCCTGCAAGCAATGTTGACTTTTTGAGTAAGCGCTCGAGAGGATACAGATGAGCCCTACAACCTCCGGCTCCTGCAACTTCTTGGCGAAAGTGCTCAACCACAACCTCTCGCGGTCGGGGCTCGCTGTGATGTTACTGCGATGAAACTCGCCGGGGGTGCTGCATGGTGCGATCGAGGAGCGACTCGCTGGAGTAGTGGGACGTGCCGTCGCCAACCTACCAATCGCCCTGTCGAGGTATCCAACCTCCTGGTCCATGGACCACGCCTCGTACCCCATGGCCGCAAGCCGAGCTGCGACCCGATCCTGGTCAGACAACTGAAAGCACCCCGGGGCAACATAATGGTTCTTTCGAAACAAAGTGCCCACTATTCGTTCCACCCATTGTGCATTTGTCGAGCCCTTGATGGTCGCCATCGGTTTGAAGCTCCCTCCCGTCCCATATTTCCAAGACCCCAACCGTCCATCTCAAGCTGTTTCCTGAAACTGCTCAGGCAGAGCATCCCTCGGAGGGAGGAGGGAAGAAGAGGTATACAAACACGCTGGCGTGAGTAGGGAAGATGGACTGTAGCGGGAGCAAACAAACGTAAGAGAATCAGACGAAGAAGGGGGAGGGCGAGGAGGAGGAGGGGGGAGGAGGATGCTCAGAGGAAAAGCAGGGACATGGAGAACGATGAGGTAGGACAGGGCACGGAAGGGGGAGGGATGAATGTGGGTATGGTGGGAGAGGGAGGGAAGAGGCTGGAGGTGGGATGCAAGAGGCACGATATGGATAAACCAATACGTATCAACTATACGCAAAAAACCCTACCGAACACCGCTGTATATATACACATATGTACATATGTGCATATACACGTATATGTATATGTATATATATATATATGTACATATACGTATAGATGTTCGCCAGCGTGGGTCCCAAGCTGTATGTTTCTAGCCATCGGCGTGGTGCAATCTATGTGGACCAGCCGATGTGGTGCAATCTACTTGGTGCAATACATGCGGTGCGATTTGTGGTACACTTGAATTTGACGTCCTCGCGCGCGACCACCTCCCATGCTCGCGCAAACATCCCACCCACCCTCCCGCAAGTCATTTTGAAAAACCCGTGCGGCTGCGATTTCGATGGCTGCTTGGCGTTGGCTGGTGCATCTCTGCGGCCGAGCTGACGCGCGCAGGCTCGCGCGCAGAGCGGCCAGCTAGTCTGGCGCGACCGACGCGGCCGCGGTGGCGCGGACCGCTGACAACTTCCCAACGCGTCTCGCAGGCCGCGCTGACGCGCTGGCACATCGGTGCGAGTCGGTGGCTTAGGCGGGCGCACTAATTATCATGGCGATGCCGACGCCAACGATGATGATAGTAGCGATGCTGGTGGCGATGATGACAATGACGATGGCAAAGGCAATGACGGCACCGATGCTGATCACGCCGATGCCGATCGATGATGGTGTCCTCGCGTCGATGATGAAGAATTCAGAAGGATTTCGACATGCGCGTCCTGGACGCGCGCGAATGGCCCGAATCGTGATGTTCGACAAGGGTCGTAAACCCCGGCACGCGCGCAAGGCTGTTCGAATGATTTCGACATGCGCGCGCGAGAAGCACGTTTGGTAGCATTTGATGAACATGTTGCAACACCTACGTGTTTTCTTCCAAAGCAAAGAATTTGCAAGGGCGCGGGCGCAGGTTTTGGTGTTGACAGGTCCTGTTGCGAAACTCTTGTTTTTTGTATGTGTTCGGGGCACTCGGTTTCGAAACCATACACACCGCAGGTTTGTGAGAGATTTCGGTATGCCTTCGCGACGACGCACGCGCGTGCATGTCGCCAATATTTGTCGAAGGATTCTTGCGACAACACGCGCGCAGAGGGGGTTCGAATGATTTCGACATGCGCGCGCGAAGGGCACTTTAAGTCGCATTTGATGAACATGTTGAACACACCGCGGTTTTGAGCATTCCTGTTTGCGAAACCACGTATTTTTGGCTGGGACACCCGATTTCGAGATCCTGACGAAACGTCTGGTCTTACAGAGATTCCAGCATGCGCGCGCGACGACGCGCGCGCGTGCAGTTCGGGATTATTGAAACAATCTTTGAAGATGAAGAAGTGTGCGCGCACGCTATTTGTCCAAGAGGTGATGGGGGATGACGATAACGGTTTAGCTGGGATGGTATACGTTCATATTCGGAACGATGGGGCAAACTCATACGTAAACTTCGGCCTCCCAGGGGTGGAGGAAAGGTCCGGCTTCGGGAGGATGGTCGATCCGATTCGTTCTTAGAAAGGGGAATACATGTGGCACGATCTACGTTGTGCAATTGGTGTTTACTAATGATTTGACACATCCCACGCTCTTGCAAACATCCCACCCACCCACCCGCAACTTGGTTTGCAAAACCTCTTAAGACAGACTACGACGACACCGACGACAACGACTACGACGACACCGACGACGTCTCCGACGACTTCGACGACGACAACGACGCCGACTCCGACGACGACGAAGACGACGACGACGACGCCAACGAAGACGACGACGAGGGAGGAGGAAGGACGACGACGGCGACAACGACGACAACGACGACAACGACGAAGGAGGAGGGAGGACGGCGACGACGCGAACGACGAAGAAGGAGGAAGGACGGCGACGCCGACGACGACAACAACGAGGGAGGAGGGAAGACGACGACGACAACGACGACGACGACGACGACGACAAAATAGAAGGGACGACGACGAGACGCCGACGACGGACGACGACGACGACAACGACGACAACGACGACGACGACGAAGGAGGAGGGAGGACGGCGACGACGCGAACGACGAAGAAGGAGGAAGGACGGCGACGCCGACGACGACAACAACGAGGGAGGAGGGACGACGACGACGACAACGACGACGACGACGACGGCGACAAAATAGAAGGGACGACGACGAGACGCCGACGACGGACGACGACGACGGAGGAGGAAGGACGACCACGGCGACAACGACGACGGAAACGACCACGACGCCAAAGAGGACGACGACGACGAACACGAGGAAAGACAGAGGACGACGTAGGCGACGACGACGACGACGACGCGGGAGGAGGGAGGACGGCGACGACGACGACGACGACGACGACGCAAGAGCGCGCGCGCACGCTTTTGTTGAAAATCCGTGTTGCGAAACCTTGGGTCTTTGTAGGTTTTTTTGACACACGATTTTGAAATCCTTCCGACACCGATGGGTTTTGAATGATCTCGGCTTACGCGCGCGACGATGCGCGCGTCTGCACTTCGTCATATTTGTTGCAAAAGATTCTCGCGACGGCACACGCGCAAGGGCGTTCGACATATTTCGACATGCGCGCGCGCGAAGCCCGTTTGATAGCATTTTGTGCAAATCTTGGAAAGCCGATGGTTTTCTTAAGATTTCGCAAGAGCTCGCGCGGAAGTTCCTGTTAGCAAATCAGTGTTGCGAAACCGTGTGTTGTTGTATGTTGTTTGGGAACTCGATTGCGAGATCTTTCCGGCACCGAAGGTTTTTGAAGGATTTCGGCATGCGCGCGACGACGACGCGCGCGTGTGCACTTCGTCATATTTGTTGCAAGGGATTCGCGAAAAAAGTGCTATGTCAGAACAAACAATGTCATCGCATAGTGTTTTTTGGCAAGGGAACCTCAGGGGGGGGAACCTGGCCCCCTGGGATAGTGTAAATTCATATTTCGGATTCGGATGGACATGTGGTCATAATCATATATGATTTAAATACCCGCATGGGGGAGTGATAACGCCGGGGGGGGGAAGTAGATCCTATTCTGTTTTTAGAAAGGAGAATCTAGCGTATGTATTTGTATGTACATATATAGATACAAACACACACACACATATGTATGTATGTATGTATGTATGTATATATATGTATACACAAGGGCCTGGCCAGGGGGGGTCCCAATTCGAGCCGGCGCCGAAGACGCGATTTGAAGACGCTATTCCCCCAAGGAGTTGCGGTGACGCCTCTATTCCGCTGACGCCTGGTGAAGCTCGTGAAGCCTCTATTCGGCCTGAAGCCTCTATTCCCTCGACGCCCATTGAAGCTCGTGAAGCCTCTATTCGGCCTGAAGCCTCTATTCGGTCTGAAGCCTCTAGTGGGCTCGTGACGCCTCTATTCGGCCTTCGAGTTGCGACGCAGTAGTGGGGTAGCGACTCTAAACGCTCCTGATCGGCCTGAACCCTGTATTCCCCTGGCGCCCATTGAAGCTCGTGAAGCCTCTATTCGGTCTGAAACCCCTAGCGCCCAGTAGAGCTCGTGAAGCCTCTATTCGGCCTGAAGCCATTATTCCCCTGACGCCTCGTGAAGCTCGTGAAGCCTCTCTTCGGCCTGAAGCCAATATTCCCCTGGCGCCCGGTGAAGCTCGTGAATCCTCTACTCGGCCTGAAGCTTCTATTCCCCTGACGCCTCGTGAAGCTCGTGAAGCCTCTCTTCGGCCTGAAACCTATATTCCCCTGGCGCCCGGTGAAGCTCGTGAAGCCTCTATTCATCCTGAAGCCTCTATTCCCCTGACGCCTAGTGAAGCTCGTGAAGCCTCTATTCGGTCTGAAGCCTCTATTCCCCTGACGCCCATTGAAGCTCGTGACGCCTCTATTCGGCCTGAAGCCTCTATTCCCCTGACGCCTCTCGAAGCTCGTGAAGCCTCTAGTCGGCCTGAAGCCAATATTCCCCTGGCGCCCGGTGAATTTCGTGACGCCTCAATTCGGCCTGAAGCCTGTATTCCCTCGACGCCCGCTGAAGCTGGTGAAGCCTCTATTCGGCCTGAAGCCTCTATTCCCCTGGCGCCCGGTGAAGCTCGTGAAGCCTCTATTCGGCCTGAAGCCTCTATTCCCCTGGCGCCCGGTGAAGCTCGTGAAGCCTCTATTCGGCCTGAAGCTTCTATTCCCCTGACGCCAGGTGAAGCTCGTGACGCTTCGCAGGGTTCGTGCCCATGGGGAGGGCAAGTTTATAAGCAACCACGTAAAACGCGAAATATTCGTGCCCCTGGAAAGGGATCGTGCCCCAGGAGAGGGCCTATCACGCCAAGGATTCGTCCCTCATGGTACGACCACTCGATCAGCACGCACGCGCAGCACGAAATATTCGCGCCCTAGGAGAGGGTCAATCTATAGGCACATACGCAAAACACTAAGAGGATTCGTGTTTCAAGAGAAGGCCGATCTATTGGCACATACGTTAAACACAAAAGGATTCGTGCCCCAGGGGAAAGCCAATCTATATGCACACACGTAAGACACATAGGATTCGTGCTCCAGGAGAAGCGA